ATCACAAGGTAGCTGCAGGTAACCATTACTTGGTGATGTCAATGTAGGACAAGGAAGAGGAGAGCAATAGGGAGGGACTCCAGACCAATGTCCGTTTGGTTGGCAGGTGCGTGGAGATGAATCGCTTAATACATATCCACTGTTACAAGTATAATGACATGTATTATTAGTCCTGTTACCATTACAGTAAAGGTTTCCATTAATTGGTGGAAGTATGACTTGGCACACTTTAGCTATAAATATTATTCCCAATATGAGAAAAATGGAAGTATAATAGCTTACGTTCACATGTCATGCCATCCCTGCCATATTCAAATCCTTCTTTACAGGAACATGTATAGCCGCCTAATGTATTCTGACACACTTGATGATCACCAGAGCAGATACTAGGATTCTCACATTCATCAATATCTGATCATATAAATAGAATATCAGAGAAAACAAAGCTTAATTACCAAAACAGAAATATTTGAATCTTTTTTCATAACCGTTATTACAAGAGCAATCATAAGACCCTTCAGTGTTAATGCATATTTGAGAGCAGCTATTAGCATCAGTATCACATTCATCAATATCTACAAATACATTGTTGGTATATATAGACAGTGAGTTGGTCATACCTATACAATATCCTGATTCATTCTTGTGATATCCATTAATACAATCACAACTATAACTGCCATGTGTGTTGAAGCAGTTACTATTGATTGGGCACAGGTTAGGATTCTCAATGCATTCATCAATTTCTATTTAATTTAAGTTCACATAAATACATTATGAATACAGTACAGCTCCATGTGTTCATAGTATAATATTTTTATGATAATGAGAAAAAAATAGACTTTTGTAAATTAAATAGTAGCTACATTTTGTAAATAAAATTATAAATCTCTTTTTAAAGTAAAAGATATTGGACCATGGAAATTTGGAGCTATCACTGACAGTTACTACCTCACCTTCACAATAGTGACCATTAACATGTAGCCTGAATCCTGACCTACATTCACAGTAGTAGCTTCCATTAGTATTGGCACAGCTATGATCACAGCCACTAATATTCAAATAACACTCATCAATATCTATGAGAAAACACCTCCTAGTTATTACAGTAAAACTAACACAGATTAAATAGAGCCCAAACTTGTAGATAACAATGAAAGGAATTTTAAGTTCTCCTTACCCAGACATAGCCCATATTCAGTCATAGTGTATCCATCAATACATGAACATGTGTATGAGCCTAATGTGTTGTTGCAGAAGTGTGTGCAATTATTAGAACCAGTCTCACATTCATCTATGTCTACAATAAGCAAATTCCTCAATCATGTTAGTGTAAATATATTAATTACCATTACCTCTACAAGTTGAATTATCACTCAAAATCTCATATCCAGGACCACAATAGCAGGCATATGACCCTTCTGTATTGTTACAAAACTGATCACAGGCAACATATGTACATTCATTAATGTCTATATTAGAAAATAAACAATACTTATAATGAGTAATGTATGTATACCTGTTCTACATCTTGAACCAGTCCATCCAGGATCACAAACACAATTATTATTTAGAGTACAAATGCCACGTAAACATGGTGGTGTACAAAACACTATAAAATAAGAATCAACACTCCAATTGATGTCATCACAGTACATGTACCTTGATCACAGTGATCACCAGTCCAACCATCGAAGCATCTGCAAACATTATTAGCAACGCATGTCCCATTACCACATGAGAAATTACAGACTGGTACCATTGCTAAAGAGTTGCACAGATTACATACATATGTATACTGCTAAGGCAGGCCTGACCCTTGCAAAGGAGGAGGGTCAAGCCTGTTGACCTAATACTTACCAGAGTCAATCCTGTAAACAACATTGCTCCAGCCTGATATGGCACCATCACAGTCAATATTAACAGCTAGGCTTGCATTGTTTGACAGTGGATGCTTTTCATAAAATGTACCATTTAGACTGAAGCCAATACCAGCACCATATGTTGTCCATCTTATGAGTCCACACTGATAGGTAAATATTGAGTATGTTATTCTTCCTTGCACTGCAATTAGAACTTGAAAGTAGTTTGACTATAGAATTCGCTAAAAATTGCATTCTGATATGATCTTAATTTACCTCATTGGACTCACAATTCTGATTAAAGGGACATACATCATGCCAATAAGCCCACAACAACCAATCAGTACTGAAAGAGACACCAGAATGACTAGTTAAGAATGCATTAACTTTATTGATGAGAGAAGAGGATCCTGATACTATTTGATAACGTAACTCTCTTGAACCAGCCAACCATATATCATCCCAATATGGAGCAACAATGGCTAGATTACGGCTAATAGCATCAAATTCCACTGGTCTATAAGCAGTATAACTGAGACCAAAGCTAACCAAGCCATTGCTACTAACCTATTGAACAAAAATAAAACCCATTAGCAATTGTCTCACATAGGCATCATTGAAGTCAATGCCTCCAAACTGAAGAGTAGTTGGCAATGCTACATAAACATAGCTATCATCTACATTAGTGAACACATTATAGTCAGGAGGAGACACAAATGGAAGATACTGTTGAGCAACTGCAATAGATCTGAACTTAATTTCATTATTATAAACTAGTATTTACCTATGGAAGTAAGGGATAAAATGCTCCACAGTAACAGATGAAGTATCATAATCTGTAGACTTTCAAATAAAATATTTGCAGAATTAGATCTAACAGCTCTAGCCTAGTCTAGAGCAATAGGCTGGATCTCAATGTCTACTAGGAGGAGTGGTCTATGCAGGCTTAGAATGATAGAGCCATTGATCATAATTATTGATAGTGCTCAAGACGTTATACATTGCCTAGTGTTAACAAAAAATAATAGTTAAACAATTTTAAGTGTCGAATCTTTTGTTTACTTAAATCTAGATTTATAGTCATTAATTTAGTGATGCCAATCCTTTAAAGGTTGAGATTACCACCAAAATACAACTGCTCTTACTGGATAATATAACTAGCTTTCCCAGTGAGTTTTACCATAATAGGATCAGCTTGCTTTGCATGGAATAATACCATAAGGATGTGGTTTACCAATCTTTACGCTGTTTTAGTGTCTGCACTTAATTTGACTAAACTGATGTCCTTACA